AAAGTAATGACGCAGAATAGTTTTACATGTGTCATATTAAAATTAACATTTGCAAAACATGTGTGCTACTGTTAATGTCTTAAATTAGCTTCATGTGATTCATTGCAAATATATTATATATGATAATATATTATGAATATGTTTGTAATGCATGAATATAATCCTACTTGAAAGGACACCACAGACTTTTTTTTTTTTTTTTTTGCATCACTGGAGCTGCAACTGGGCCCTGCATAAACTTGGGATTTTTATTATTATTGTTTTGGGTTTTTTTGATAATTCAAATATGTGGTTGTATGTGACTGGTTATCTTGTTTTGATTTAAAGAAAGTAAAAAATGATTCCCCTCATAGCACAATACTGTCTGGGAAAGATGAAAGGAAAAGTATGAGAGCATACACCCCCAAATATGACACTTTGTTGGGTTTTGAAAGCATTTCAAAGATCTTTTCCATATTCTGCACAGCTGTTTATGGCTCCCTCTGACTCTGAGATAATTGGTGCTTATGGAAACTTACCTTACCAAGCTTCTTGGCTGTAAACACCACCAGAGTAGCAATGCACAAATAAAATATCCAGTTTTCTTTGTGGGACTGTTTTTTTTCCACATTTGGTTAGAACATAGGCACATAGCAGGACACAGTGGTATACAGATTGTATAAGGAGTATCTGAAAGCCATGCAGAAACAAATTAAAATAGCTAAATGTTAATTATTACAGTGCTTGTTATTAAAAAAGAATTAACATTAGTGGTTAAGCCGTCTACTTGCAAGGTCTTTATGAAGTCGTCATTCCTTAATGAAAGTGGTTTGACTTTTTAAAGCAGGGGGTCTAGGCCATGAGTTGCGTAATAATCAAACAACTTGCAAAACCTGACTGTGCAAAGTCTAAATGAGTGAACCTGAAATAAAGAGAAGCGTAACGTGATATACATTGCAGTAAGACCTTGCTCCTGTGCCAATATAAAGTCTAGTAAAATGTGAAGCTAAAAACATATTACAGAGCAAAAATCATTGTTTTATTGAAAGAATTAAGCACTGCAAAAGTAAAGTATGATGTCAACAGTTTGAGGAATATTAACTAAGCTATATGATGCATATGTGCAACTTTATATTGCAACAGACTTACAAAATTTCAGAGTTCAAAGTGTATGTGTCCCATTTCGTGTACTAGAGACAGACTAATAGTGAGTTTTGAAATTAATCTTTATTTATGGGCATTATTTTATTTCAGGATAAAACAGTATAGTTTGATTTATCTGAGAATAAAGTTGAAATGTGGAGATTAACAGTGTTTTTTCAAGTCAAACAACTTTATTCTCAAAATACAATTTTGGGTTCTTATCTCAGTCTACACCACCACCACAACAGGTTTTAAATCAATCAATCAATGTGAAAACTGAAGTGCTCACCTTTAACTTAAATTCAAGGGATTTTACAGAAGTATTGCTGTTCTAGAATTTCAGCCATTTTTCTACAAGGTCTCGCATTTCCAGAGGCTCAAAAGCAACAGGACAACTGACAGGCAGTTTCATATTCCGGTAAAGCCTGTCCCTTTGTTTTTCCATGACATTTATGGAATTGATTCTATACACTGAATTTGCATTTGGTATCTTCTAGCTGGAGCTCTCAATATGAGGTCCAAAGAGATGTTAATGCAAAAGGAGGACATCCTCATGTTCCAAGAAGCCTTTCAAAAACAAAAGGAACCCGGTGCCAAGGCCTAAATAATAACCAACAAAAACAGATGTAAACAAAGCAGTTTGTAAGAAGTTAAAGCGTCATGAAAACATGGCACTCATATGTCTGATTATAGCTGTGACCTGGCTTTATGTAACAGTTTAGCCCGTCAGGATCCCACACAGTCCTCCTTTGTTAAACAGAGTATCCGAACCCTCAATATTATCAGCAACAACCAGTATCACAGTTTGCGCAGTGGAAAACATCATGACTACTTTACTATTTTTCATATGTGTGCACACAAGTATGCAAAAGTCAAAAAGGATCTGGTGTCATTTCAAGTTTATTTATTAAATTTAACACCGTAATTGCCACACTTTTCCCCCTCAGAGTGTCCTTTTTGTTACAAACAATGTTACCAAGCTCAGCACCAAAATCTTCATGAGTCTGCAGATTTCATTGCTTGTTGCATATTTAGGTGGATACACAACAGCTACCAGGCACGGTCAGAAGGCAGGTCCAAAGTCTTATACCAGCAGAACTGCATTAATGCAGCCGTCGTTCTCTGGGTTATTTGTCACCTGAGCATATTTACCTAAGGAGTGAAATAGATGACATTTAAATATTTAGCCCTTTTCCACCATTTGTAGCCTGAAATACAGTAAATATACACACCGCTGCACTCATCCAAGAATATGTAACCATTTGTCAACACTGATATTTTGTCATCATTTACCAAGACTGGTGAGTGATGGGACTGTTGCAGCACATGTAAATGAGCTGAGTTTAAAGACTCACCCCAGATAACTTTTCCTCCTTGTGTTACCAGGCCCAGCTCACTGACATTGACTTCTATAACTGTTCCTTTTGTGATGACTCCTAGAGAGGTGTAGAGGGGTGAGGAAGGGTTCTTCTTCACTCCCAGGATTGGAAGACAGAACGTTGCTTTCAGCTCTGGGTGTGTGACGTGAGCCTTCTTAAATCGCAAACCCTGAAAACAGAACAGAAAAATGGCAAGAAACAATGAGCATGTGAAAGAAAGGTGTTTCCTTCAAGTGCAGAATATAACATGTAACACGTGCAAACATTTCAGTCTGTCATCTGCTTCCATCTTACCGTCGGTCTGATGAAACGTTCATACTTTGGAGGTTTACGGGTAAAGCCGTCGCCCACAAAGCAAACTTTTGTGACCATCCTCTTCCAGGCTTTCTTTTGTCTCTTTCCGGTTCTGATAACTTTAAGCACCTCTGTCTCTCCTTGTGCGCGCACCTTGGGCAGAGGCACTTCCCATTTGCCCTACAGAAATGAATCAAGGTGGAGTTTACAAACAGTGACAATATTTCCACACATCGCAAAATGAAAGATGGCCCTGAAAAAACAAACTGGAAAAGCTGCAGCTGATGAGCAGATATTTGCCGACACTTACGGCCTTCTCTTTCCTCTTCTGTTTGATCATGTTGGAGAGAACTTTGGCACGAGACTGTCCCTCTCTGTCCAGCAGGTAGGCTGGCACTGCTCCCTCGGGGGTCTTATCATCGTTCTTCTGCTTCGTCTTTCTCTGTTCGTGCATTTTGATGCTGCAAAGACACATTAGATATTTGGATGTTTATGGAAGTTGTATTTTTGTGTTTTTGTATTTGACCTTTTTCTTTAAAAAAAAAAACAACAAAAAACTCACGTCTTCTTCATCTGGATCTTCTCTGCGTGTCTCTGTTTGTGGTACAGTTTGGCCTTCAAACCTATCATCTTCTTGGCTTTGTGAGACCGCTCGTGGGCCTCACGGCTCTCCTTCTTCCTTTTCCTTTCATGGTGATCCAAACGGTATCCATGCCGCTTGCGGTGTAACTCAATGTGCTCGTTCTGGGGCTACAAGAGAAACAAAACAATCATGAAAATCAACTGAACCCAATTAAAAGATATAATAAGAGCATGGCTTCTCTTTGCAATTTCAAGTAAAATCTACTGCACAGGATCCAGTATACCGTAGCTCCAGCACTACTGATAACAGCCTGTTCAGTGATTTAACTCCACAACCGTCTAATTCTAAAAAAAATAATAAAAATCTATAAAGAGTACTAGAGGCTGTGAAGCAGGCACATCTGAATTTACTGCTGAGCTATACGAGTTTCTCAATGAAAGCAGAGCAGCCTGGTGGTGTTTCTACAGCTCTCTGAACCACCCCACCGAAAATGAGATGTAGAAAGCACAAGGTTAGCAACAAAACAACAACAAAAATAAATAGGTCAGCACATATTGTCAAAATGAGTGTGTGTTTTCACAGATTCTTATTAAAGGGCAGCAGGCTGGAGATGTTGTCCCACTCTGATCATGGAGGTCAACAATATTTTTCTGATTCAAAATTCATGATTTAAATAAGTTGTAAACAGCTGACTCTGTGACAGCACTGGTTTAGATGGCAGAAACAGAAATGCCAACAAAAATTCAAACCTTAATGGTTTCATCACAGCACAAAAGTTTCATTTAACTTAAACCTCCAAAACACTACGTTGGGCTGTGAAGTTATTTAATTTACATTAAGAAGCTTAGATCTACTTGAAATTTAATTAAACATGTTCATCAAATATTAGATCAAAGAAAATGTAAGAAACCATCTCTCGGACCATCTCACTTGTGGAGATTTCTTTTACAAATTTGGCGCATTAAATGCTAAATTATGAATTTGTTTTACACATAACAGGCAGGTTTTTCCAGATGTAAAACAACAATGGGAGATTATTTCAACACAGAAACGCATAAGAGGTATGACAGTTCAGATTAACTTCAGTCAGCTTCACTGTCTAAAATACAAAAGCTCTACAAAAACAGAGCGAAATGGCCTTTAGCTTCACCTAACATAGCATAGCATAGCTCTTCCATAGCTAAATACCCGAAATGTTCTTAACTTTAACATTAGAGGGAATATAACGCACTCGGTTAAGTAATATCAAAATGTTTTGACACAGTAAGAATCACAGTGCTGTTCAGAGCAGCGGAGCGCGTCCCTCAGCCACATGTAATCCAAAGCTAACGCTAGCACGACATGCTAACGCGTTAAACTCCCTGATAAAAGCTAATTAGTGTATTTTAAACAATTTGATTTCTTACCATTTTGTGTGCGCGGAGTTACGTGTTACGATGAACGTGTCGTAGATGCTAACAGTTGGTAAAGACGAAAAGTTTCGGTGTTTTTTGCTTCAGGCTGGGGTCCTTCTGATGTTGTTTTCCCCGGAGCCGATACTTAGAGGAAGGACGTCATCGTTCTGTAACCACTTGTCCGTTCGTTTCAACTGACCGGCCTCAGTTTAATGTAACACACGGACGGATAAAGTTTACTGTTCACGCTGCGAATAGAAAAACTTACAAAAATGCTATTGTAAATTATGAGAGTATATTAAATGAGCTACAGCCGCAAATATGGACGGAAACAGAATTGATTTGATATCCGGAACTATGTTATGATCTCTAAGGTGTCCCGGGGATGCATTTTGACGTGTACCAAGCGTGACTTTTTTTTGAGAGGTATATTTTTTCATCTATGTAGGGCTTCTTTCGGTTTTGGGTAAAGTTCAGTAATGTGCTGATTAGAACGACAGTCTTCCCGGCTCTCCTGTTTTAAATGTTGTGCTGCATCCGTAAAGAGTCGGCTGACATTGCTTCGTTCAGTCCTCTTCTGTCTAATGTTCCTCCAGTATGCCTCAAGTCTTCTCTGACTCTGAAGAAATGGCTGCTCGGATAATAAGCAGATATTAAAAATGTATCTCAGGGGATTGCAGACCTTTAGCAGGATGATTCGGGTGAGATATAATTTTTCCCAACCCCCAAAAAAATCAGTACTGCCAGTGATTGGATATATGAACTCTTATGATTTGATAACCTGGTTTTGGTCCACAGGGGAGGCGTTTATTCGCTGCGGGGCTGCAGTGCTGCAGATGTAGACTAAGCTGTCACGTAAAGAGACATTACAGCCTTCTTCCAGGTAAGTTCTCTTATTGGTCTCCAAAAGTTGATTCTGTTCATCTGGACGTAGCGT